CAATTGATTGTTAAAAATTTTCTTTTTATGTTTATTTATTATTGAGACAGAGAGAAACAGAGTATGAGTGGGGGAGAGGCAGAGAGAGAGGGAGACACAGAATCCGAAGCAGGCTCCAGGCTCTGAGCTGTCAGCACAGAGTCCAACGCAGGGCTCGAACCCATGGACCACGAGATCATGACTTGAGCTGAAGTTGGATGCTTAACTGACTGAGCCAGCCAGGTGCCTCTGTAATCAACAATTGTGTTTTCCACTTAGTTTTGTTTCTTATTTTATTGAACTATAATTGACATACAATATTATATTAGTTTCATGTCCACAACATAATGATTTGACATTTGTGTACATTACAGACAGATTACCACCATGTTTAGTTACCATCTACCATCATGCAACGTTAATACAATATTATTGACTATATTCCCCATGGTGTACTTTACATCCTGTGACTTATTTATTTTATAACTGGAAGTTTGTACCTCTTGATCCTCGTTACCCATTTCACCCTCCATTCCCTATCCCTCTGGCAACTACTCTCTGTTCTCTGAGTTTATGAGCCTCGGTTTTGCTTTGTTTTGTTTACTTGTTTTGTTCTTTCTAGATTCCACTTATAAGTGAAATCATGCAGCATTTGTCTTTGTCTGACTTATTTCACTTAGCATAATATTGTCAAGTTCCATTCCTGTTGCTGCAAATGGCAAGATTTCATTATTTTTTAACGGCCCAGTAATATTCCATTGTATGTATGTATACCACATCTTCTTTTCACTCATTCATCTACTGATGGACAGGTAGGTTGTTTTCATATCTTGGTTATAGTAAATAATGCTAGCAGAGGGGTGTATATATCTTTTCAAATTAGCATTTTGTTTTCTTCAGAGAAGAAGGGGAATTGCTGGATCATATGATAGACCTCTTTTTAATTTTTGGAGAAATCCTCATACTGTTTTTGTACAATAGTGATTGTACAAGTTTACATTCCCACCAACAATGCCCAAGGGTTGTATTTTCTCCACATCCTCACCAACATGTTATTTCTTGTCTTTGTGATACTAATCTTTCTAACAGGTGTGAGGTGGTATCTCATTGTGGTTTGGATTTGCATTTCCCTAATGATGAATGATGTTGAGCATCTTTTCATGTGCTTGTTGGTTATCTGTATGTCATCTCTGGAAAAATGTCTATTGAGATCCTCTGTCCATTTTTTAGTTGGATTGTTTATTTTTTGTTATTGAGTTGTATGAGTTCTTAATATATTTTAGATATTAACTCCTCATCAGATATTTCATACGCAAATATCTTCTCCTATTTAGTAGTTTGTCTTTTAGTTTTGTTGATGGTTTCTTTCACAATTCAGAACCTTTTTTAGTTTGATGTAGTTCCAGTTGTTTATTTTTGCTTTTGTTGCCCTTGATATGGCGTCAGACCCCAAAAAAACAAACAAACAAAAAAACCAAACTAAACAAAAAAACCAACCAAATCCTAGCGCTGAGGAATACAATGGCTGACCTGAAAAATTCAAGAAAGAGATTAAACAAAAGACTTGGTCAAGCAGAGGAATAAATCAGTGAACTTGTAGGTAGATCTTTTGAAATCATCCAGTCAGAGAAGGAAAAAAAAGTGTAAGTAATTAAGCCTCTAGGATTTATGGGCCATCATCAAAAGAAGTAATATAGGCATTGGGGGAATCCCAAAAAAGAGAGAGAGATGGGGAAACAACATCTATTTAAAGAAATAATGATGGAAAACACACTTGCCAAGTTTTAGGCGAGGAATGGAATTCCATGATGATCTAGATCTCTTGGAGGCACAGGAACATTCTAGAATGGGGAGGGCTGTGTGTTAATAATGAAAGAGTTCTGTCATTAGGGGCTTTATTATGGATCCTGCTTCACAAAAAAATTCAGCCTGGGAAACACAAGACCTTTCCCTATGAATTGAGGCATTATAGATTCAACAGTACACAAAGGGATGCCACAATAGCATCAGGAGCCAAAAACAAATCACCACCACTGATGCAATGGCCAAAAGAGAAGCTTGGATACACGGGGCCACGTACATGTGGATCTAGGAAAAGAAGTAATGCAAGAGATAAAGCCACAAGAATCGAGAAGCGAGCAGAGACTTCCTCTGATATCAAAGGCAGGAAGGTGAGCAACTGTTCTACAGGATATGGGAGTTAGAGTTTCCTCGGACATGGCTACAACAGTGTATCAGCAACTCAGGGGTCCAAAGTGGTCGCCTGAGCAATGCACAGGGCAAATTCCAAATACGAAGGAGGGAGATAAGGTCAAGGAAGTTAAGGGAAGGCCATCCCCTACACGGCAAGTGGGGGTCTCTCTAAAATCTAAAGTAGGAAGCAAAAGAGTGATCCTGCAAGGTGGCAGCTCCCTGCCCCCAGAGGCCGTAGCCTCCACGGCTCCTCTACTTGCCTTACCCCTGCTCGGATATGCCAAGGAGCTCCCAGCTCTTTCCCAATATCTGGGCAATAATGCTGAGGTGAAGGAGGAAGAGAAGTGGGCCCCAGCAGGTCCTGGATCTTGGAATCTGCAGAGGCAGGGCGCATTTGCAAGAGGTATAGATCATTGTGCAACTTGCTGGTCTTCTCTGGAGCTCAGATTTTTGGACGTCTGTAAAATACACACACTGATAATGCCATTTAACTCCCAGGGCTTCAGGGAGGCACAGGTGAGATCACGGACTGAGAGTGCTCTATAAACTCTAAGGTGATACACGTGTAGTGTTATGAATATCAGTGGCAGGTTTCCAGAAGCCAAGTGGGGTGAGAGTGAGTCAACAAGGAAGAAATGGTCCCACTTCTGGAAAAGAGCTCTTAGAAGGCCCAGGCTGGGCAGCTCAGGTTACAAGGTACGCATAAATAGCAAGTGGCTGCCCAGGAAAGGGTAATTTGCCTGGAGATCCTGGAGTCTGAGAAGAAGCGTCTGTGAGTCTCTATCCTTGCCTTCATTTTGTTTTTTCAATGGCTGATGAATATCTCTCTGCCCATATGGCTGGTTTATCCTACTGGTGCTGTGGAGGTAGGGTCTATGCGCTGTGCTGGTCTAGGAAATATGAAAGGTGGGGGACAGAGTGAGGTAATGAGGAGTGCTCTTTGGCCCCTCACTGCTCCCTCGGCTCAGTGTGAGATTTGCTCTCTGGGTCGGGGAAGGTGGTCCATTGGATGATCCCCACCCAGCCCCCAGATGCCATTGTCCAGAAGCCCCAGGGAAAAAGGCAATTTCAACTTCTCTCTTAGTTCTCCTCCATTCCTGATTTCTTTAGAAAGAAGGGTGGTAGAGGAGAAACAGACCAGACCTTCCCAGACTGACCTTCTAAGCCCATCCAGGTACCAACTGCCTGTGGGACATGGACATTCATGATTCTCCCTTAGCCTCGAGTCTTTACTTTAAAAAATAGACTTACTGGACTAGGTCATCGATTTTCCAACCAATTTTCAGAGGAGTCATTTTTTTCTCAATAATCTTAACCGGAAAGCTTGGCGCAGACACCGTGGATTGAGGGGGGCTGCAGCTCTGCCCATGTCCTCTGTAGCCCCAGCTAAGATGCTGCGTCTGAATCATGGGTCTGAAACCCTGTGAGTTAGCTCTCTTTGCAGCCCCTTCCTGTTATAGTGCGTGGCGGTGCCTCTCGTGGCATCCTTAGTGGTGGGGCAGAATGCTTATTGCTTCTTCTTCTTCCTCAAATTTGGGGCACGGGGCCCCAGAGTTGCTGTAGCTGCAGACTAGAGGGCAACGGCCTCGTTCTGGCCTGGGTCCTTCAGTGCTCATGACTGAGCCTCTGCCACAATAAGGAGCTCACCTGGGTGTTTCTAGAGACTCCCAGGAAGCCCAGGCAAGTGGTGAATTCAAAACTGAAAGAGGCCACTGCAATATAGGGACCAGCCAGCCTAGAATCACCAGCAACCTGGAGGAGGCACTTCTCTGGTCAGGAAAGACTCTCCCCTGCCACCACCTCAGCCTGCCCGGTGACCCCCCGTCCCTCAGGCTTTTTTCCTAGCCTCTGCGTCTCCCACAAGCTCTTTCCATGCTCCTAACTTTACTGTTTCTCTCTGAGAGAGGAAAGAAGCCCAGGAGTGGAAGTGACTCAGGCCCAGTACCCGCCCCAGTCTCACTTAGTTCCTAAGTCCCAATCCGATGGTGCCTGGATGCCCTATTGGACATCTTCTCTTCCTATCCCTGAACTAACCTTCCCTTGACTAAACCCATCTCATGTGTCGCCTTCCTCCATGAGGCCTTTCTTTCAAGTTCCCTTAGGTGGTGGGAGCAGGATGCTACACCTCCCAGGGGCTCTCCAGCTGCTAACTTGGCATCTCTGAAAACTTTCACTTGGGTTCTGTGTGCAAATTTCCTTCTGGAGATGGTGTCCAGTCCAGGGATGGCAAGTCACCTGGCAAACAGGCACCCCCGCCCCCATCCTGTGTGCTCAGGACAGATATCACAAAGCAGTCAGGTCTGTAGCTCCTTTCCAGAAGAGTGCTGCAGACAGCAAGAGTGTTAGTCTATCCATGGCAGCAAGTGAGAGGAAACGAGGTCGCGTCGTCAGAGCTAAGTCAACCACCTTGATGGTATAGACAGGGAGGTGGAGGTCCAAAGAAGGGAAAGGTCTTTCCCAGAAGCACTCAGTGAATCCTTCCTGATGTGATTCTGTGGCCTCAGTGAGGAATTCTACATCCTACCCCCTGTGCCAATATCAGTGCCCAAGGGAAGTCACAAGAAAGGACGACACAGGGCATCTCAGAATAGATGGATATTGCTGCCAACTTATACCTGAGTTCCAGCTGCGTAACTCATGCTTTCCCAGACCAGACCGTGTGCCCACCTGGTCCCTAAATTTCTTTGGGAGACCTGCTTCTCTCAACCCTGGGGAGGGAGGGCAGGAGGGGAGGTGCTTCTCCTGACCCTCAGGAGCTGGGCCAAGCCCTAACCCATGCCCTAAGACCAAGAGCATGTCCTTTCTCATTCTGTTCATCCACCTAGGCCATGTTTCTCCTCCCTCTCTCCGTGGTGATCCTGCTCACACAGCCCCTGAGGTCACTGGGAGCAGAAATGAAGACCTATTTCCAGAGAACCGCAGCCAACGCCTGCACCCTGGTCATGTGTAGCCCCATGGAGAATGGCCTGCCTGGTCGCGATGGACGGGATGGGAGAGAGGGCCCCCGGGGCGAGAAGGGGGACCCAGGTAGAGCTGGGACCACTGGCTTGTCCTCGTGGAAAGGGGTGGGCGTTGGAATTGTAACCGACCCAGAAGCGCTGGGACAGTCTGCAATGGAAGACTTGGAGGTAGACTTCTTCCCAAGGGGGTGGGTTTCCCCCAGACGTTCGGTCCGTGTGAAACGCTGCTTTACCAATTGGCAAATGACTGGCTGCTCTGAGCCCCCAGGTGCCTCCCTCCATTACCAGCTGTCCTGATTCCTTCCTTGGAGGCTTCTCATTCCTCCCACTCCAAGAAGGAGGAAATAATGGGTACATGGAATCTGTGTCTCCCCGGAACCCTGCTCTGGGACCTAACAGTTGGTCATCCAGATTAAATAGCGTGGGTGCAGGGTGTCAAATACTTTCAATATCATATGATTTCACTCATATGTGGAATTTGAGAAACACAACAGATAAACATAGGGAAAGGGAGGGAAAAATAAGATAAGAACTGAGAGGGAGGCAAACCACAAGAGACTCTTAAATGCAGAGAACAAACTGAGGGTTGCTAGAGGGGAGGTGTGTAGGGGGATGGGTTAAATGGGTGAGGGGCATTAAGGAGGGCACTTGTTGGGATAAACACTGGGTTTTCTATGTAAGAGATGAATTATTGGGTTCTACTCCTGAAGCCAAGACTACACTGTATGTTAACTAACTTGAATTTAAATGAAAAAATATATATATATATTTTCAATAGTCATGAAGGTTGGGAAAGAATGAGATTCTGTGACCCCATACTCAGGTCTGATCACAGGAAACTGTCCTAATACATTACAGAGAGACTGAAAGGGAACTCACATTCCTTTGTCCAGCCTTGTGCTTGGGCGTTCACTGAGTTATTCATTTAATCCTACCAAAAATCTTACAGGGAATATGTGAATCTCATTTGACAGGTAAGAAAATTGTGACACAGAGAGGCTTAATGACACCCAGTCTGGAGGGGAAAAGACACGGGCTTCTGCACCAGACAGATCTGTGTTTGATGGCTAGCTCCATTTCCACAGCAGGGACCCACCGTGGGACAAGTCAGTGCCCCTGAGTCTCAGTTTGTTTATCTATAAATGGGAATAATATCTACTGCACAGTGACAAATCAGGGAGCCAAGGCTTTTTTTTTTGTCAGATTGTCAGGATAAAGTTGCATCTTCCAGCTGGACCAATCAGGTGAATTCTCATGAGGTTGCCAAAGGTATTGATTATTAAGGGAATTATCTAAGAAGTACTGTATATAGGGAAGCATCTGGATCTCGGTGGCAAGGAGTTAGAATTCAGTGGACCACCATTTAGGACAAGGGACCCCACCCCCACCCCCACCAGGTGCTGGGCTAGGGTTATGGAGGGATCAACTGTGGTCTATATTTTGGGAACTGGCATTTTGGTTGGGAAGGAAGGAAACTAACAACATTTAAGTAGGAAAGATAGGTAACATCCCCAGGCTTTATAGGACAACGGACAAGCTAGTACCTATGGGTCCTTTACAGAGAGAAAGTGGCTCCCGATATGAATGGCCTGGGGCTCGGGGAAGGCCACCTGGAAGTGAACTCAGAAGGTGTATTCAAGGTGTCAGCATCTTGGAGAATCCCCGTGCTCTTTAGCTCTCAGAGGGGTCCTGAATCAAATCCGGGAGGGGGAGCCATTTCCTATAATCACCTTGTGAGCCTATAGCGCAGAGTGTGGCTGAGACCTCCCTGTCTTCCGCAGGTGGTCCCCCCCCTCCCCCCCGCCGCCATGCACATTCCAAACCTGGCGTTGGGTTGGTGCTTGGAGAAAGAACAATGCACAGCTGGGCCAGGGAACCAGGCTGAACTCTGGCTCCTGGATTCCAGGCACGTTAGTCACTCAACCATTATGGGTCTGAGAATTTCCTAGTGAGCTTGGAGCCCCTCAGAATCCTGAGCCATGTAAGTCTGGCTGGGGCCAGAGTCTGCACTTGGGACAATGTCCCCTGCAGATCCTGATGCACAGGGTTCCAAGAACCTACTGTAAAGGACAAGATAAGCCTGAGAGAAGGGAGCCTTGAGCAGAGGTAGGGGGTGGAGCTGGCTCAGTGTGGTACTGCCTCAGCCGTATCAGGGAGGGCCAATGTCCCCACCCTGCTATGCGGGCTGTATTTCTAGGGACAGTCCTCTTACTCCTTGGCATCTCCAAGATTCCTGCCCAGAAGGATTTAATGTATATAGGCATGTATTTCCACACCCTCAGCAGCCCACGACGACACTCTTCACCCCTGCATACTTCTCTGACCTCCCCTGCTCTGGCCACACTGGTTCCTTGCTGGCCCCTAACCACCTTCAGCCCCCTGCCTCCTCGGGCCCTTCCCATAGCTCTTCCCATAGCCGTCCCTGTGGGTCACTCCTCACCTCCGTCACGGCTTTACTCATAGACCACCTTCTCCACGAGTCTAACCCCGACCACCCTGCTTAGAAGACAGTCCACCCCCTCCACCCTCCCCACCCCCACCTTCCGACACTCTCTGTGCTTTATCTTTCCTCTCTGGTGCTTATTTTGCTTTAATGAACCATATGTTGTACATTTTAATTTTTATGATCTGTCTCTATGCAGTTGGGGTTCAACCCCAAGAGGAAGGGGGATCTGATGTTGTGTCTGCTTTTTCCACTGCTGCATCCCGGCATTGTGGATGGCGTCTTGCACACAGTAGAAGTTTCAGTGAGTACCTGTGGAATGAATGAATGGAAGCTGTAAGGAGAGGAGGAATTTAGCACAGCTCAGACTGGCCAGGCTGCTGGTCCACACAGCATCACTTCCGGTGGCATTAAGGTACAGGGCTGGCCTTTGGGGGGCGCTAGGATGCAAAATTAGTGCTTTGGGAGGCATGGGTGCTCGCTGTTGAAGAGGGCGTCCCTTCATGGTCTCCGGGGCTTCTGGGCCATGGATGGGAAACCTCTAGCGCTTTTTCTACCCGCTGCCATCTCAGCCAGGGTGGAGCCCGAGGGAGGCTCAGCCTAGAGATAGGACATCTCTGCCCAGCGCGATGCCCTATTGGATATGGGGTGTGGGGCCCAACCTGGAAAACCCTCTATGCTTCCGTGTCATTCCTGGTGAGGATCAGAATGAGAAGCAGGACATAGCGCCCAGCACAGAGCCTCTCAGCCACTCATCCCAGGCCCCCGGCCCCTGCCACTAGCACACTGCTGCCCAGCAGACCCGGCCCCTCCTGGAGCACAGTCTCCAAGTCTCAAATGTCGCCTTCCCTCTGCGAGTCTCTAAATCCTCCTTGCCTTGAAGTCCCATTTGCTGCCTCAGGGAGACAGCTCTGGCCCCACGTGTGTGCACTCGGCTGGGGTGACGTCGCAGGAGGATTAGGGGCCTCGTGAATCTTCTTCCTCCCTCATCACCTGGGTCCTCACAGTTCAAAATCCCACCGCAAATCCCTTGCAGACCGGGGCCTGGTGCGAACATTGCATCTCGCCCAGTTATGTTCTGCAGATGGTTTCGCAGGGAACAGATAAGTGAGTGACACCATCAGGTGTCATTTCCTCTCTTGTTGCACATGAGCATTTAGAGCAGCTTTATCCCCAACAGCCCAAAGATGGGAACAGATGTTCCCAGATGTCCATCAACTGGTGACTGGATGAACCAGACGGGGCCTGTCCACACAGTGGAATACTACTCAGCCCCGCAAAGGAATGAAACGCCGAGGCACACTGCCAAGGTGATGGACCTCAAGAATGTCACTCTGAGTTAAAACAGCCAGACATAAACAGCCATATATTGTCTGATTCCATTGATAAGAATTGTCCAAAATAGGGAATAGAGACGGAAAGCCGAAGTGGTGCTATCCAGGGGCTGGGAAGAGGGGAGACTGGGGGTGGTGATGGCTTAGTGGCCATGGGGCTTTTTTGGGTGATGAAGTGAGTTTGAACTAAAAAGAGGAGGTAGTTGCACACCACTGTGGATGTGCTAACTGCCCCTGAATTGTATACTTTTAACAGGTTAATGTTATATGGATTGAATCTCAATAAAAAAAAAAAAAAGAATACCCAAATGAACAGAACTGAGTGTAAATCTCTTGCACATTGGTAACTGTTTGCTCAGATTAGTCTCTTGGGGGTAAATGTTATGTGATTTTAGACCTCGACAGACTTTCTGGAGGCCACGTCTTTCTAAATAGGTTCGATCATTTTTTCCCATACAACAATAATCTGTAGTCACTAAAGAAACAGCAAGAAGACAAAGTTACCTTGTGTCATTTAGAAAGAACGACTGGTAACACTTCTGTAGATGCTTTTCCTGTGTTTTTTCCCATGCCGTACACATGCGTGTACATATTTGTGAAACAGGATCATACTGAACATAATGAGACATTAGGTAATAATTTGGTCTATTTTCTATAGTCTCAAGAGTGTATTACATTGCTTTCTCTTGTTTTGTTGACATGGAACTGACATATGACATTATATTAGTTTTAAGAGTCCAACATAATGATTCAATATTTGCATGCATTGTGAAACGACCCCAGTAAATCTTGTCAACGTCCATCTGCAAACCTTGTACAATTTTTCTCCTCTCATGATGGGAACTGTTAAGATCCCTCTGAGCAACTTTCAGGTATACAATACAGTATTATTAACTATAGTCACCGTGCTGCACACAAATTTATTTCATAACTGGACGTTTGTACCTGTTGAGCACCGTTAGCCATTCTGCCCACTTCCCGACCCTGCCTCTGACAACCCCCGATCTGTTCTCTGTATCTCTGAGGCTGTTGCTTTTGTTTGTTGGTTGGTCTGTCTGTGTACATTCTACATAGAAGTGAGATCATGTGGTGTTTGTCTTTCTCTGACTTAATTAGCATGATGCCCCAAAGTCCATCCATGTTGTTGCAAATGGCAAGAGTTCATTCTTTTTCCTGGCTGAGTAATATTCCATCATATAAATGCCTGTGTATTCTCCATCCACTCATCCATTAGTGGACACCCAGGCTCTAAGTTGCCTCCATGTCTTGGCTACTATAAACAATGCTGCAGTGAACATGGGGATGCAGATATCTTTGTGAATTAGTGTTTTTGTTTCCTTAGGTTAATGCTCGGAAGTGGAATGGCTGGATCATACAGTAGTTCTATTTTTAATTTTTTGAGGACCCTTCATTCTGTCTTCCACAGTGGCTGCACCAATTTACATGCCCACCAATAGTGCACAAGGGTTCCCTTTTCTCCACATCCCAACCAACATTAGTTATCTCTTGCCTTTTTGAGAAAAACCATTCTAGCAGGTGTAAGGTGATAGCTCATTGTGGTCTTGATCTGCAATTTCCCTGATGATTAGTGCCAGGTGTCATTTCTGATAGAAACTCCGGTTCTGGGAAGGGGAGAACGAGGAGTCCATGATCAAGGGTAAATGCTGGCAGCTTGCTGCTGTAAACACTGTGGTCTTGGGGCAGGGGAAGGTGCCCTGTATGGAAAGTCAGATGGCTCTTGGCTTCTCAGCCAACTCCGACAAGCCTGTTTTCTCACCTGTAAACTGGGGATGTGGACACCCATTTCCTGGATCACCACTGGACCGAGGACTGTGGAGGTGGGGTGTCTATGCCCTGTGGAATGCTGAAGGAATGCAAGGGGCCTGACCACGCACGCAGCTGGCTCGCCTCTGGGCCTAAGGCTTGTACCCATTTCTTCTGCCACTACAGGTTTGCCAGGAGCCGTCGGGAGAGTGGGGACGCCTGGCCCAGCTGGCCCAGTTGGGCCCAAAGGGGAGAATGGCTCCGCCGGAGAGCCAGGACCAAAGGGAGCCTCCGGAGCCCTTGGTGAGCAGCTGGGCATGGAATGCAGGTGTCTGTGCGGTAGACACTGGGTCATTTCAGGGGAGACTGGAACTCCTGTTGACGGCACCTTTTACGACGACGCTGCCTCTCTGACCTCTGTCACTGCTCTCCTCTCTGTACGCTCCCACTTCCAACAGGATTTAGTGTCACTGACCACACCGATCCTTTTCCCCAGGACCTCCGGGACCTCGAGGTATGCCTGGTCCAGCTGGCAGAGAGGGTCCCTCAGGGAAGCAGGGGAACGTAGGACCTCAGGGCACACCAGGCCCCAAAGGAGAGGCTGGGCCCAAAGGTAGGTGGTTGGTACGTGGCCGGTCCGGGAGGGCGAAGGGAGGGATACAGCACAGTCCGGGTGGGACCTACGGCCAGCTCAGAGCGCTGGGAAAAGCCCAGACCAGCAGCGCCAGGCCGGCCTTGTGGCCTTTCCCCCACATTCCCTCCAACGGTGTTTTCCTGTTTGCCTCCCCGGAGGAACCTCGGCCAGTAAGGAGCGCCTTCTCCTCAGTTCTCTCTCCCCCTGGAGCGATGGGTGAATAGTACGCAACTGAACACACTCTCAGCACCTTTTGTCCCAATGTGTTCCCTCCTCAGGAGAAGTGGGTGCCCCCGGCATGCAGGGCTCTACAGGGACGAGAGGCCCCCCAGGGGTTAAAGGAGAGAGAGGTGCCCCGGGTGAGCGTGGAGCCCCTGGAAATGCTGGGGCGGCGGGTGAGTGATGGAAGGAGCTAGGACTGGGCTCCCCCTTGTGTCCCCCTGACGCTGGAGATGGCCTCCCCTCCCCCGCCGCTGGCGTGACTGGGTGGTGGGGAGAGAGGAAGGGGTGACTGCTGGGCTCTGGGAGCTGTCCGCATGCAGGGAGAGTGATGTGTGAGCCACGGGGGTACTGTGTCCAGGAAAGGTTGGCCATTGGGTGGTGGGGACAGTCAGCGTATGGAGAGGGTCTGTATGGGGGAGGGCCAGGCGGACAGTCCACGACTTGGGAGTGTGACACTGCTGGGAAATGTGTACAGAGCTCACCCGGTTCTCTGATCCCAGGGCCTGCTGGAGCCACAGGTCCGCCAGGACCTCCAGGTGCCAAAGGGCCCCCAGGACCAAAGGGTGACAGAGGCGCTCCTGGAGACAAAGGAGCAAAGGGAGAGAGCGGGCTTCCCGGTAAGGTAGCATCTGCTAGATCTGGGAGCTGCCACGGGGTGGGGACAGGGGAAGGGAGGTGGCCGCCTTTATCTTGAGATAGTCCACCTTCTCAGACTTGGGCCCCATTAACCACAGGGAGTGAGTGGGAAGCAGGGAAGCTAACAGGCAGGAAGGTAGGGGAATGAGGCTCTGGTTTTAGACTCTTACTCAAGGGAGGGCAACCCCGAACAGTTTTTTCCATCCGATCCCTGGAGAACGCATGGCTCTCTCCCCAGTTCAAAGGCTAGCTTTGACTATCAGATAAACCAATGGATGGGAAGTACTGATGACAGTATATTCTTATCCCCCTCAAAGGAGGTGCTATGAGACCCCCGGAATATGGAGTTAAAATGTCATATGGTTCAGTGTCAGTGATGTGCAGGGACCTGCTCAGGGGACAGTGTGTTAATAGCAGAAGTACCAGAAATCTGGGGGTGACAGGGGCTAGTTGTGTTAGTGGATGTGGGCTTCTCAGGGCCCAGTCCTAGCTTCCCTTAGGGCCCTTCCCCCTCTTCCCCCCCATATGTGCCTGAGACTGGGTACCTTTCCCTTGAGGCCCAGGCTCTGAGCTGGTCCCAGGCTGTGCTGGGTTTGCCTTCACTTGACCTCTTTCTTCCGCAGACATCACTGCTCTGAGGCAGCAGGTGGAGGCCTTACATGGACAGGTTCGACTCCTCCAGAATGCCTTCTCTCAGTATAGGAAAGGTGAGTTCCTGAACCCGAATCGAGCCAGGCACCAGGGCTAGTCCTCCGCCTGCGCCTTGGTTTGGGCCTGGGGCCAGGCTGGAACAGGTTGGGAGCATATTTAGAGCTGGTTCTGGCTCTGGGACAGGGGCTGGGGCTGAGAATAGTGCTGAGACAGAGCAGTGCAGTCATATACTCCAAGATCCGGAAGTAGATGCCAGAGACAAATAGGAGGGTGTGGCCATATCCCTAGTTGAGTGGGGTGAGGCTCTAGGATGCCCCACCCCACAACATCACAGCCACCTGTGACCCGATCAGTGCCCTAAGCCCTGTGCCATTCAGCATACCTTCACTCCTGCCTGCCCCTTGCTGGTCCCTGTGATAGACAGGGATCCAACCCAGGAAACACTTCTTACCTCTGTGGGGCCTAGCCTGTGAATGCCCAGATATTGTTTCACAGCCCAATGCAGCGGAGAATCCAGACACTGTCCTGAGAGCTGGGGCTGGGGTGCTGCCCTTGGGGTCCAAGGCTGGTAGGAACTTGGCCTTGCTATGTGGCCCTCGAGCATCTCACCTTGGACATGCCCATGGTTCTGGAAGGGGGCTGGCTGCCTCTGGGCTCCAGCCAGTGCCGGGCCCTCCCTGGACACTTCTGGGTGTTTAAAGCAGAGATTCTTCCCAATCCCGGAATGCCGCAGAGTCAGAGGCCTCCAGGAGCACATGCCTGAGTGCCCTGTGCCTTTTGGAATCTCCACCTCAGTCCCTGATTGGCCCCCCTCCTCGGCTCTCCCTGACATCAGCTTTGAGTCTTCATCATTCATCAAATCTCCCTGATACAAAAAAAAGAAGAGTTTTCTGAAAGAGTAGATCACAAAGGGGTCTGACTGGGTAAAACATAGGTTTGGCTCCTAAGTACCTAAGCACCAAGGATGGGAGTTTCAGGTACTGGGTATGTCTTGTTCCCTCCGTAACAAATTCGCACATGTTCACTCACTTCTATGCACATCGCTGCGAAGTGGAACGTGTCCATAGATGCTGGCCATGTGTGTACTCAAATACCACCACTCACCCCACACCATGACATACACGAGCACATGCATATGTATGTACACATGTCCAGATGGTAGGTACTCCCGTGTACCTCCTGACGAATACATGCACATGTTTGTGCATGCACATGTGCGCCCACCCAGATGCATGGAACATAAAACCCAGTAGCGGCCCATGAACTCTCGCACTGACCTTGTCCAGGGCTGCTTCAAGTGCCGCCCTGAGCCTGTGGAGAATCTACCCCCGAGCCCTAGTTGAAGCTACTCAGGAGAAGGGCCATGGGTCAGGGAGCACCCTGAGCTCTAACCAGCCCTGTGAGGCCAGGGCACAGCCCTCTCGGAGGCCCTGACGATTTCCATGCCTGAGCCCCAAAGCCAAAGGGCTGGGTTTAGGATGAAAGATAGATACTTGATAGGTCACATGGTTGATGTCTTTATGACGTGTACCCCCTCTTTTGAAATGAGGAATTAGAAACCCTGAAAAGGGAAGTAACTTTCCTGTGTCCACCTAGGCAGTCATTGCCAGGACAGGGTTGAAACGCCTGGCTTCAGATTCCCGAGCAGGGCTCTCCCGGAACAGATCCTCTCTGCCCCCTGCCACCTCTCAGGTGCATTCATCCCCTCAGCCAGCACCCTGGAGAGGCTGATTGGCTGGTGCATCACCCATATCATGCATCCCAAGGGGCCAACATTGGGCTGCCACAAGTGCAGAGATTAACACAGCCAGGCTCTCAGATGCCCCCTCCTCACCCCACATCACACAGAAACACCACTGGATCTACTGTTATGCACAGTCTGCTCTTCATACTGCCCCAGGCATCACACCTTCAGCTCTCCGGCCAAAGTCATTCCAATTTCCACCGACGCCAGCACACAACATGGAGTGAAACAGAAAGCACATCTTCCAGCTCTAATGTCTCAGCAAACAAGGTTTAATCCTAACAGCACATTGGATGGCATGTGACTCCAGGCCCCTTACTTAACCTTTCTGAGCTCATGTCCTCATCTGTAACTACAGACCACACACAGGACTTCCTCCCAGGGTGCACTGTGAAGCCAGGGCTGCTCTGGAACCAAGTGCCTCAGATTTGTCCTATCTGGTGCCCTGATATCCCACACGGATGCTGGGTGGTGGGGGTGGGGTGATGCCGCACAACGGCCACAGAGCCCCTGAGCCCTGGCCTGGGGCTGCCATAACCCTAAGCTGACTCTGCTCTTCTCATAGTGGAGCTCTTCCCCAATGGCCGAGGTGTCGGGGAGAAGATCTTCAAGACAGGAGGTTTTGAGAAGACTTTTGAGGACGCACAGCAGGTGTGTAAACAGGCGGGGGGACAGATGGCCTCCCCACGCTCTGCAGCCGAGAACGACGCCCTGCAGCAGCTGGTCACAGTTGAGAACAAGGCTGCTTTCCTGAGTATAACCGACATCAAGACGGAGGGCAAGTTCATCTACCCCACAGGGGAGCCCCTGGTCTATTCCAACTGGGCCCCAGGGGAGCCCAACAACAATGGCGGCGCAGAGAACTGTGTGGAGATCTTTACCAACGGCAAGTGGAACGACAAGGCCTGCGGAGAACAGCGCCTGGTGGTCTGCGAGTTCTGAGCCACTGGGGTGGGGGGCCGCACTCGGCCGGGAGCCTGGCCAGCGAGCGGGGGCCCAGACCTGTGTGCTGCTGATGCCCCAATAAAATGGCGCCGCCTCTGGTGGCCAGGGCTTCTCCACAGAGACGTGGGGGGAGGCCCCTGCGAGCGCCTCTCTCAGAGTCGAATGACTTCACACACAGGAGGCTTGACAGAGGAAGAAGGGGTGAACTGCCTTCCCAGTTGCAAGGGATAAACTTGGGTCCCCAAGACCTCCCCGTGGCAAAATCCGGTGGCTCCCCCTAGCCCTCCTCCCCATTTCCCTCCCCTTCCCTCCCCTTCCCTCCCCTCTCCTCCCCTTCCTCTCTCCTCCCCTCCCTTCCCCCTCCCTCTGCCCCCTCTCTCAACCCACCCTCTCTCCTCCTCCTCCCCCCTCCCCCAGCTCTCTTCCTCCTCCTTCTCCTTCCCCTCATCCTCCTCCAACTGTCAGCCATGTTTGACCAGCTGACCACCCCCAGCCCTTCACTCTCCTTCCTCTGGGCTTCCAGGGCAGCACCCCTGCTTGCCTTTGTCTCACCCGGCCGCCTCTTTTGCCCCTTCCTCCTCCCACTTGACCACTTAATGGTGCAGGGCTGGCCTCTGCTCTCCATTCTCTTGAGGCTGGACTCTCACTCCAAGCAGAGCTCAGTCTGTCCAAAGCTTCGAATTCCTTCTCCTGACGGCTCCCACATGCACATCCCTCTTCGGACCTCTCCCTGAACTCCAGGCTCCTCTAGCCAGTGCAAGCGGGAGCCCCTGGGCTGACAGGCCTCAGTGGCTGCCTCTTGCTTCAAGCCCTGGGGCTGGGGAAGCAGCAGTGGGATGGAAGCCTGGCCGGGAACGTCTGCCTCCCCGGACCGGGCGACCCTATGCCCAGTAGACTGGTCCTCCCCCTTGCACGGCCCAGGATCTCGCTGTGGCACACGACGGCTGCTTGTTCACAGGAGGGAGTTCCTCCCACACGACCCAAGTTCCATGTGAAGTCCCGGGCATGGAGGGTGTCCAGCCATGCCCACATTTACCCCCAACCCTCCTCTTGCCTGGCAGTTGCGGGAATGTTCTTTCCCTGCTCCTCACCAGAGGGGATCTAGCCAAAGCCGCCTCCTCTTACAGATGCGAAAATCGGGACACAGAGTGACCAGAGACTCCCCCATGGGCGCAGTCAGTGTCAATGCTACAGCCTGGTCATGACAAAGGTCGTTGACCTCAAAGCTTACTCTTTTGGCCTGTAAATTTTTAGGTCAAAGGCCTTTGTATGTTTAGTTTGGTTTTATTGACACACTAATGGCAAAATTTTTTTTGTTATGTTCATTTTTTTAATGTTTATTTATTTATTTTGAGAGAGAGACAGAGAGAGAGAGTGGGAATGAGGGAGGGGCAGAGAGAGGAGAGAGACACAATCCCAAGCAGACTCTGCAGTGTCAGCAGAGCCCAACTTGGGGCTCGATCCCACGAACCATGTGATCACCACCTGAGCCGGTATCAAGAGTCAGATGCTTAACTAACTGAGCCACCCAGGTGCTCCTTCTTTTCTTTTTTTTTTAAATTAAGTTTTTGTTTTATTTTTTATTTTTTTTAATGTTTATTTATTTTTGAGAGAGGAGAGAGAGAGAGACAGAGCACAAGCCAGGGAGGGGCAGAGAGAGAGGGAGACACAGAATCCAAATCAGGCTCCAGGCCCTGAGCTGTTGGCCCAGAGCCTGACGTGGGGCTTGAACCCACGAACCATGAGATCATGACCAGAGCCGAAGTCAGCCTCTTAACCGACTTAGCCACCCAGGTGCCCCTTAAGTTTTTATTTTAATTCCAGTTGGTTAACATACCGTGTGATAGTAGTTTCAGGTATACAGTATAGTATGATTTGACAGTTCCATACATCGCCCTCTGCCCGTCATGACAGGGATTGTGGAAAATGTGACACCCAGGCTGAAGAAACTGGAACGACACCTGGATGGAGCACAGGCTCCTAGGAGAGGGCACCAAAGTCCTTCCCCTAGACAGGACACCAACCGCTCTCTCCTTTGTTTCCGGGACCACAGGATCTGCCCTTTCTGGCCCTTCCTGAATGGACCCCCAGGTGCTCAGCCGCACACTCCTGCAGCCACATCCCGTGAATAGGACAGCATGCCTAAAAACAAAAGCATGTGGCTCAGACTCTCCGCCAAGGTCTTTCTCCTGTTACTAAAAAAAAAAAAAAACCCAATTCCTGGCAGCTTCTCAGATAGGTCAGTTCCACAGAAAGGCCACACCTGACACACTCATTGAAGGAGCTTAGAAAGGCCTTTTATTATTATTATTATTATTATTGTTATTATTGCAAATAAGAACAACTGGATCTGGCATAGGTGAAGTAGATGCATTTTTTCTTCTTTTAATTAATATTTTATTTTGGGGGAGAACCCAAGCAGGGGAGGGGCAGAGAGAGGGGAACAGAGGATCTGAGGCAGGCTCTGCACTGACAGACTGACAGCAGTGAGCCCGATGGGGGCCTTGAACTCATGAACTGTGAGATCATGACCTGAGCCAAAGTCAGACCCTCAACTGACTGAGGCACCCAGATGCCCCGCAAGCATTTTTCCTAAGAACAGAGAGCTCTGAATTGGCCCGGGAGGACTGGGGGAGCACAGGCAACATCGTGCTATCTCCCTGGCCTCTGCCCCTCTCTGCATCCTTGCATCTTCCTCCTTTACACACCAGCTTCCTCTTCTTCCCAGTCTCTTGACTGCCCAGGTGTGGGGAAGCATACATCACACGAATTGCCACACGGAGATTAGAAACTCTTGCTTGATATCAGTTCCAAAGTCCTATAAAAATGAGTCTGTCTCAGCTGCCCAACCTCCAGTCCAATGACCTAAGCCCAGAAGGCGGGACCTCACAGGGCAACATGGCCGCCGGGATCCACGCGAGGTCAGCGTGGTGTGGGCAGACCCTCTAAAAGTGATCACTGCCCATCCCAACACTTCAGCCAAGCCTGTCTCGTGACAAGAGGGAAGGAAATAGAGCAAAACTATGTGACTCGGTGGGAAGGAAGGAAATCTCCTGTGGTCTTGAAGGCTGTGGAGGCTGAGACTCCACACCCTATGGAAGGTGGCTTCAGATCCACCTGCACTGTGGGGCTGCGGGGGTCCGATTTGCTCTCCAGCACAGAGAACAAGTAAGGAGGTCTGATTGGGCTTTATAGACACAACTTGACTAATATAGAGGGCCAAGGCAGGTTATTCAGAAAATTCAGGCCCTAATCCATGCCTGAGCATAGGGGCCTCCCTTGTACTTACATCATGGGCAAAGGTCAACAGAGATTTCAAACACTTTCGGCCTCTTCTAAACCACAGCAGCCACAGTCTCTGGCTTGGTAGCCAAGTAAAGCCAGGGCTGTATGACTCTTGTGTTCTCAGGAGATGCCGTGACCTTCACAGTGCCAGGTGGCATCATGGGAGCAGGGTAGGACCCTTCTCTGTTTGGAGAGAGGACAACCATAGCATTTTCCTAGCAAAGCCCCTGTTCAGTCTGATAGAAGATTCTTGAGTTACCGCCTGGTTCTCAACCCTCCTGTCACCAAAGCAGCCCCCATCCCACTCTGAACAGGCAGTGAGGAGCCCTCTGAGGTTTTGTTTTTCAGGGTCCTGTCTTTGGTCGGGGTCCCCTTGATAGAAAACCCTGACCGTGGAGTTGTTTCAGGTCAAGGCATTCTCTGTCACCCTTACCTTCTGGATGTCCTCTGCCCAAGGTTAATGATGTGCTGGACTTTTCAAGTTGCCTATGCCTTCTGTACAAGAGCAGAGAAACCAAGCGTCTATCAGGAGGAGTAAAATATGAATTTATATGTCAAGTATTTGTCCAGGCACTGGATACAGAGGTGGAGATGGCTGTTTATGCCTTCATAGATGCTGCAGCCATGACATGACATGACATCAGAGATGAGCTGTAGAATTGTGTCCCAGAAACAGGCCATCGAGATACTCAATGAGTAGATTCAGAATGAAGGGGTGAAAATAACACATTATCCAGGGCAATAGGGAGCTATAGCCTATGCAATCCCCAGGCCATTCAGACACTCACTATCATTCAGGCAAATTGTCTGTGATTCTCAGGCGTCTCAATGGCTAATAGCAGGTATTTGGTGGTAGATTTTACTGGTTTTCACCAATGCTTCAATAAGAGAGGTCCCACGAAGGCGGACCTGTGACATGCGTCACTTCTGGGTAGACACAGGTGAGGACCTGTGCCCATTTCTCCAATGGCCTCTCTCCTGCCGCCACCGTGATCCCAGAAGCATTGGTGGATGTAAAGCTGTAGTACAAGCCAGCATTCTGGAAGCCTGAGCAAATGGATGGAGAACAGCTACCCTTGTGGACCCAAGGGGATCTCTTGGATCCACTTGGACTCTGAGTGAGATTTGGGGGTGGTTACAGCAGCCCCGGTAGCTCATCCTTATCCGTTACACATTGAACATGAACCTCCTTGCCCTCCATCTACTTAAGCAGTGTAGCCTCTCTCAGACTGCCTGGCTAGAACGACTCCAAGCCAGAGAGACTCCTGAGAGCCCTGCCTGAGCAAGATGGTACTTTTCATCCATTTCAGTACCTTGACACAATGAACGGAGTAAGTAAATGAAAGAGTTGAGGGAATGAAATCCTTAATTCCTACGTGTAAGTCTGTTTGTAGGGTCGAATAAAATGTTTTCAAGATGTTTCCAGGCCCTCTGATCTGAGGAACTAGTGCCGTGCCTTCACCACTAGCCTTTCTGCCCTTTTATGATTTCCCAGAACATGGCATCTCAGGTGTGAGCGGCTGGGCCGAGGCCAGGGCCGAAAGGTCAGGGGAGCCTCAGGCCAAGCAAAGGCGCTCTGTGACCAGAGGGCTGGGTCAGCATAGAAAGAGAAGGAAAAATCTCGAGCTGGGTTTTAAGCAGGTCCTATGCCTGGCCGCCCAGAGGCCTGACGCCCTGCCCACCCACCCAGAGGGATGTGAGTTTTCCAAAGACCCGATCCCAGGTCTTTTGAGGGCCTCTTCAAGTGATTCTTAAGCTGTTAGGAAAGAATACACATTCTAGAACCGTGAAAAAAAATTACTTTTAAAAATAATGAGAATGGACGCAGTCCTCTTATGCTAAAGGGTGTTATGTGGCTGAGCTAATTTGTATATTACTGACACGGGAATAGACAGAATGATGTAAAAACCCACAAAAGCCCAACACGGGTCCGAGGATGCACACGTATACGTATATATCATCTCTGCATGATAAAAATAGAATACCCAAATAGTAGGAAAATAGTGACTGCTCAATGAATAATGCTGAGGTAAATGGTTAAGCGCTGAGAGGAAAAATCAAATCAGATTCTTTTAGTTACATATAAAAGTCAAAATCAGAAGAAAACATAATGATGATTTATATAGTCTTGGAGGGGACAAGAGCTATCTAAGGATGATGTCGGCGGGGCACCTGGGGGTTCAGTCTGTTGAGCATCTGACTCTTGATTTTGGCTCAGGTCATGGTCCCAGGGTCGTGGGATGTAGCCCCATGTTGGGCTCCATGCTGAGTGTGGAGCCCTCTTAAGATTCTCTCTCTCCCTTTGTTCTGGTCCCCTTGCTTGTGTCCTTTCTTTCTCGCTAAAATGAGAATGAAAATGAAAACAATAATGATGTCAGAAAAGAAACCCAAAACAATAATATTGATTCATCATACCACAAAAAAAAATTACATAAAACTTCTCTGCCAATGAGTAAAACCCAACATACAATGAAAATTAAAATATTGACTTATTTGCAAAGCACATAATAGGAAAAACAATAAGAAACTGATGAGTAAGGAGGAAAAAATGGGATAAGAATGAGAAGCAAAAATCCATAAAAGAAGGAATACTGATGTCCAGTAGTATTGAAATATAAACAAATACACAAGCTTAGTAGTAAATAAAAAAAACTAAATTCAATAATAATAAGTGTCCAAAAATCTATGGACTAGAATTAAAGCTATTTTCAAAGGACAGTATACTTCACTTTCATTATTAAAATAATTTTTTTAAAGCACGAACTGAAAATAATTGAACTAAGTGTTCATCTTTTTAAAAGAAATTTTTCAAATGAGAAAAAACAAAGGATAAAACAAATAAAGTGAAACTAGTGAGATAGGAAATAAATAAGAATGATAGAAATGATAAATTAACCCAGAAAGCAGATTTTTCAAAGCCAAAGGAGAAAAATATATCTTGTTAAGTCTGTATAAGATAAAAAAAAAAAAAAAGGGGGGTGCCTGGGTGGCTCAGTCAGTTAATTGTCTGACGTTGGCTCAGGTCATGATCTCACGGTTCGTAGGTTTGAGCCCTGAGTAGGGTTCTGTGCTGACAGCTCAGAGCCTGGAATCTGCTTCGGATTCTGTCTCTCCCTCCTTTCTGCCTCTCCCCTGCTCACACTCTCTTCCTCTTCCTCTCCTGTCTCTCTCAAAAATAAATAAAACATTAAAAAAAAAAAAACATTTAGGGGCACCTGCATGGCTCAGTCAGTTGCACGTCTGACTTCGGTTCAGGTCATGATCTCACACTTGTGAGTGTGAGCCGGCGTTGGGCTCTGTGCTGACAGCTCGGAGCCTGGAGCCTGTTTCAGATTCTGTGTCTCCCTCTCTCTCTGACCTTCCCCCACTCACACTCTGTCTCTGTCTCTCTCTCAAAATAAATAAAGATAATAAAAAAATAAACATTTAGAAAAAAGGAAAAAAAAGACAAAACACCAATATGCACAGGTCGGTTGACCTTTGAACAACGTGTGTTTGAACGACATGGGTCCACTTACACGTGGACTCTTTTATGGTAAATACAGTGCAGTCCTGTAACGTACTTTCTCTTCCTGATGGTTTAATAACATTGTTTTTTCTCCGGCTTACTTTATTGTAAGAATTCAGTATAGAATGCACTTAACAATACAAAACGTGGCCACCTATGTCATCAGTAAGGCTTTTGGTCAACAGTAGGCTATTAGTAGTTAAGTTTTGGGAAGTCAAAGGTTATCCGTAGATCTTCAACTTCATGGGTGGTCCGTGCCTCTAACGTCCGTAGATCTTCAACTTCATGGGTGGTCCGTGCCTCTAACGTCTGCTGTTCAAACGTCAGCTGTAGGAGCAATAAAAAGGCACTGTAACCACAGATAGGGAAAAGTTTAAAGGCGCTTTAATTTTTTAAATGTTTATTTATTTTTGAGAGTGAGAGAGAGTGCAAGAGAGAGAGCGTGCACAAGCAGGGGAGGAGGAGAGAGAGAGGGAGACACAGAATCTGAAGCAGGCTCCAGGCTCCGAGCTGTCAGCACAGAGCCCGACGTCGGGCTCGAACCCATAAACCATGTGATCATGACCTGAGCTGAAGTTGGACGTTTAAGCAACTGAGCCACCCAGGTGCCCAGAAAATAAAGGCCCTCTATTCACCTTTTTTTAGGCATTGGTCTGGATGAAATAAGGAGGCCAGGACAAATTTGGCATCCCTCCACAGCTCTCCCCCACCTTTACTCTGGGGCCCGAGGTCAGACCCACACCTATTTCTGTGGAGCTCCAGGTGGTTTAGAGCATCCTGGCAGGGAAGAGGAGAGGTGGCACCGTTTTCTCTCTGACCGGGAACTTAGCTCATAACCATGGTGCATTAGTTGAGAATGACCAGGAACAGCGAGTGAGGTGTTAAGCCAACTGAGAGGCATCGATCCATCCTCCATCTCAGACCCAGGGGGCGCTTCTGCCTCAGGACCCGCCCCCCCAACTCCTTTTACATAGTGAATCCAAAATGCACACCACCTTTTCTGAGTCCCGTCCTTAGGGCACTTGAGAACCAGACTTCGTCAGTGTAAGGGGAGATGATCATCCAGGAATAGCTCCCAGACAGAGCACAGGAAGGGGTCAGCACGGCCGGGCAAGGGGAGGGCGCCAGAGGACATTCTCACTGGGCGTAAGGATCACACGTGCAGCTCTGCACACGAGATCAGATAGTACTTTTGTGACTACCGAAGCCATCGGTTCTTCTTTTGTTTTTATTTTTTTAATGTTTGTTTACTTTTGAAAAAGAGAGAGAGAGACAGAGCAGGAGTGCGGGAGGGGCAGAGAGTGAGGGAGACACAGAACCCGAAGCGGGCTCCAGGCTCCATGCTGTCAGCACAGAGCCCGATGGGGGGGCTCGAACTCACAAACGGCGAGATCATGACCTGAGCAGCAGTTAAATGCTTGACTGAGTGAGCCACCCAGGCGCCCCCTCAAGCCCATAGGTTCTTACTGAACAGGAAGCTGGACTTGTCCGGAGCACCAGGCAGGGGTGGACAGTAAGTCATTTTCCACACATTGTCTCACATTCTTTGGTAATGCCTGCAGGGTTAAATGGCTTTCAAGGTCTCATCCAGGCTGAGTAGGAGGTAGTTGATTAGTTTTGTCTGCCACCAGCATGGGGGAGGAGAGGGGCAGCCTGTGTGCTGATGTTTGCCATTCTTGCCTTAAAAGAACAGGGCTCTGCAGACCCCGAGGCCACCCCCCCCCCGTCCTTCCCCCCCACTCTGAGCTCCATCAAGAGCCAGGCGAAGGCCCTCCTGGGACCTCTGCAAGCATCCTGGTGCCTCCTTCAGCTGGGCTTCCAGCTTTGGGAGAACAGCATCATGATCCAGATCGACAGGGAGCAGGACAACATTGTCTTCTCTGTTTGAGACCTGCCGGAGGCCCCCCATCCCTGTGTGCTGGGTGCTCCCCCAAGGGGCCCCCGGGCAGTTTCTCAAGCCACCTCACTTACAGGTCCTCAGCCTG